TCTGCCACATGCACATCAGCAAACAAGCATGAAAATAATTTAGTGTCTAGTGGGGTGATGGTCATCAAGCTGGCATGAACGTCAAACCATCCTAAGCAGGTACTATGGAAGAAACACTAAGAATTCTTGGCTTACATCGGATTCACTACGTTTACTATGTTTTCCCCAGACAGCATCAAACCATATCAATTGTACTGTTACCAAGAGAGTCTCTAGAAGTTTGCTGGGTACAGGCCATGCACAGGCAACAACGAAAGCAACTTTATTAAGAGAATAAAAGTGGTTGAAGTGAAGAAGAGAGATGACAACAGTTTTAATTATGCACCAACATTTTAGCATAGGAAAGAGAGCTGAGTGGGAAGACTGGCCTATTTCAAGTTGGAAAAGTCTAGCGTATTAGTGGAGCTCTGCGGCTACATGGAATAAAGAAATATCAGCAGAGAGTGATTTTTCTTCAAATTTCATACAACATGCCCAGAAAGTGTGAAAAGAGTAAAGAAATCCTCAGGCCAGTTAATTTATAAGTTCATCTGTTATAGGATGTTGATTTATAAATTTATCTATTTTTTTCTTACTGAAAAGGATGAGCTTTAATCTTAGAAAAAAAATAACCCTGAAGGAAACTTTAATTTTTAGATCAAAGGCTGAATTGAGTACCTCAATTTTATTTCTATTCACTTTTGATTACCAAAGTACAAATGCTTAAAATTTAGTTTGAACATTTTTAGTTAGGTTAATAATCTGGGTGGTTTGGTAAAGAATCTTTGGTTAAGCAAAGTGTTTGAAAAAACCGAAGAAGCCATAGTAATTAACCTTTCTTTGGTTGAACACGTAAACCAATCAACCAACTGACCAACCAATCAACCAACAGAAATAACTCACAAAGGCTGCCCACGGGGAAGAATCAGGGTTTGGGAAGCACTTGGGGGGGGTGACTTCCCCATCTGCACCACTGAGCCTAATGCAATATTAAGTAACTGACCAAATGTTATTGTGACAAACCAGAAAACAGCATATCTGATTGTGTTCAATGCACTCTGTGACTCAAGCAATTTTCTAACGTTTGGAAGAGTGACAAGATCCGGCTAGAGCTGTAGATCACAGCCAATGTGATTCCTTTTCTGAGTGGCTTCTGTTACAGAGATTGCATCTATAACAGAAAGCGTATACAAGATATTTGTGATACCGAGGGTAGAAGAATCTAGCTATTTAAACATTCAGAGTGTCCTACTGTGGCTAATGAAGAAGACAGCCATAATTCAATGCATGTATTTTACAGAAAAATCCAAGGTAAGTTTCTCACATAACCCGGGCAAAGAATTTTGGCTGGATAATTAAGATTTTACAAAGGGGGCATGATACCAACAAAGACGGCAAGTGTTCAGAGGCACGATGCTGTGGGCAGTGAAGGGAGGAAAGGGCCTTTTGGGCCTGGCTCTAGGTCAGTAATCATATTTGCAACAGTGATGAGATATATTTCATAAGCTTATATAATGTTGCTGCCCCACCATACATAGCTCTTGGAGCTCTTTTTCTAGTGGTGATGATAGATTTCCATTGATCCAGCCATTTTTTTCTATAATTAATGCATTTATAAGAAAATAATCTAGGTTTAGGGATAAAGTTATGATCAAGGAAATGAATGAGGTGAATTATGTTATTTGAACCATATTCTACATTCTACCTAATTGCTAACCAGCACACACACACACACACACACACACACACACACAGACTTCAAAGGGTTAAGGAGAGTGCCTTTGAGATTTCCTCTTTTCTTTTAAGGGAAAAGTGAATCGAGGATATAACTGGAAGTGGATATAAGAAAAGAGGATATAGCAGATGGCGGTGGTAACCAGAGTTATACACTCATAAATCTGTGTGAGTCAGATCACCCGGATGTCAAAAGACTTCAAAGATACACCCTCGTGCCCTTTGAAGATCAAAGTGGAATGCTTGTAAGGGCCTCCAGGTTGAGTAATGCCAGGAGTTTATGGCGAGAATTCTGAAGGGTGATTTCAATTCATCCTCATTCTGCTTTATCTTTCTAAGATCTGTCATAGAAGACTGAAAACTCAGGCTAAATAAAATATCTGCATGGCAAACTTCCCTACTTTCTTAACATAGATCAGCACATTCTTGGCTTGTTTAGGTTTTATCTGATTTTAAGAGGGGAAGTTGGGGTGGAGTAGGAGTGAGGGCAGGGCTCTAGGTTACATTTATTTGGTTCCATTCCAATCATAGGAAGAATAGGACCTTTAACATATGCCTACACTTGGCTTTATGGGTTTCTATCAATTTTAGGATGCAGGCATGGTTAAGAAATAAACAGTGGATCACCACTAGCATGATGCAGTGATAGAAATTAAGCACCGATAGTCTGAAATTGGTTTTGAAACTCTACTTCAATAAGAATGAGATTGCTCTCTTTGGGGGAAAAATGGCCCAGTGGGACAGAAAGGTGTAAGTCCTCAAGTCGTTTACTGCACTATGGTCCAGCTCTGTGGCGTTGTCTGGCCTGATCCAGTTAGCGCTAATGATCATTCCAAGAGGCACTTTCATTAAAAGTCTAAGAAATCACCATCTGGGGTTGTGCAAAAGCAGAGTCCTCCAGAGAAGAAAATCCGCTTGGTACTCATCACAGATGAGTATCTGATCTATACTGGTTTGAGGCATGAGATCAATAAAATAAGTGGAAAAGAGAGGAAAGAGCTGAGAAGTCCAGCTCAAGTTGGAAATTCTCAATGGACTCTCTTGAACCCCCAGAAGACCTCTCTCTCCCCTGAGACGTATGACAAGAGGATTTAGTGATGGAGGAGAATGACCAGCAGTCTAGCTATGGAACTACCACTATGGTTAGTGATTCGGGGCTGGGATACTGACCGTGCACAGTGCCCAAGCTGATTTACATACAACCTTATAAGCGAATGCTCCTCAGCCTCAGGGCTGGCTGCACTTAGCCCCTCAGGTAACCTGAGGGAGTCAAACAACGAGACCTCATTAATACCTCCCCTGGACAGAGCAAGGCCCACTCAGAGAGGAAGGAAGTTCAGTGTACACAGCTTTATTGAACAGCACCCTTCACAGACACCAGGGGCCAATCTCCCTGGTGACAGGAAGAACTGCAAACTCTCAACAACGTGTCTGTGGTTCACAGGGGACATTCCAAAAAGACTGAAAATGGGAGAAAAGGGAAGTGATCGTATTTGGGGTTAATAGGTACCATGCACCCTGGAGGAATCAGAACAGTTCAAAGTGTTATAGGGATATTTTAGAGTAGAAGAAGCCATGTTATCCATCTAGACGCTTCCACCATAAGCACCGCCCGAGCTGAAATGATATAAAATGACCTTCAGTAAGGATGGAGTCGAGCTCTGCCTGACATTTGCAGAACGTAGAGATTCCTAATAAATGCACAACATCTTTCTCAACACATGCAGGCTCTTCTCTAGAGAGATGCCCAGGCCCGAGTCTCTTAGAAGCTTCACGGTTTATGATTTTGTCTTAGAAACGATGGTTGAATTTCTGGTGTTCTGAAAAGGAGAGCTAAGAGGCACACTCTGAGGGCCTATGACTTCACTGTGGAGGTTCTGTGTCCTCAGCTCCACTTTTTACAGACTCCCGTAATTTACAGAAGGAGGCCCCATGACCTGCCACGTTCCGTTTGTCCTGTAATTACAATTATGGGGAACATCTTCATCTCAGGTTCCTGCTGATGAGCAAGTACCGGAACACAGTTAATATAACCAGCAGTGTCCTGAGTCTCATTGTGTTCACATCCTCACTAAATTGTACCAGGATACTACAGTGCAACTGGTACCTCAGACACCTCTTTAGGGAAAAGACTGATTATGTGTTTTTGTAAAACATGAGACTGTATTTTTTCCCCTACTGAAAGGCATTTGCAAGATCTTACAAATAGCTCCAATTACCATTACCTTTGTTTCTGCTTTCCCGTGGGCCTTCTCCAGGTATTTCTACAAAAATTCTCTGGTGCTCTATTTGTGATCTTTGATCAAATGTCTCAGAGCACCTCTTGGCTGCTGCATATTTGTAATGCTGGCCCTAAAAGAATTACTGGATTCACCTGCCCTTTGCTCACAACAGGAGTGGATCTTGTTAAAAAAAGATGACACATATCTACCTTTTGTTTAAGTCCAATAATCCATGACATTATTGTGTGGAAACTACATTTCCAAGTTTGAGCTTCGGCCTCTAGCCTCAGAGACTCCAGAGTTCACCAAAAAGAGGGTTCTTTTATATCTGGAGCTTTAAATTAGGAGATAGTTCCCCAGTTTCCTGACTGAAATGGACCTTTATGAGTGCTATGAAAGTGACTTTCTCAATGAAAAAGAATGCATGTATGTCAGTAGTAAAATTTAAACTTCTTCTGCATTTACTGTGGGTGCACTGTAAATGCATGTTTCTAGACGACTTTAACCACAAGAGCCATCCCATTCCTCTTTAAATGCATTCAAATGAATGGAATTGAAAGCCATGTGGCAGAAATTTACATAACTCGTTTCTAACAATAGTCTTCCACTCTTGGCTTGCACTAGAATATTTTTCTTGTCACAGAATCAAGGCTCATTACCAAAGAGAGGGCTTGCTATGTCCTAGGATTGGAACTTACCTCCTGGTGATAAAAGGACTTCCTGAGGAGGGGACTGAGTGGGAGAACAGGGTGTCATTCATGCTGGTTACAGGTCTGGGTGGCCTAAAACAAAGTACAGGTGGATGAAAAGTTAAAGCAAGTATAAGTCGCAGGTTAAAAACTACCTACCATCCCTGGAGGAGAGGGGGTGGGAAGATCAGAGTTCTATCATAACCCAGGAACAACAAAAAATTTTACATTTTCCAATTAAATTCTTTAGATGTTCTAAAGTTACATTTCTTTGCAAATATAGAATCTCAAGTAAATATTGTGAGGCAGGTCTCTGGACACCATAGGAATGTCTATCAGTGAGCTCTGAGCCTTGGCATTTCATTGAGCTACTAGAGGCCCAGTGCATGAATTCGTGCACAGGTGGGGTCTGGCCAGCCCGGTCCCAATCGGAGCGGGTAGGGGCTGGGCCTGTTGTGAGGAGGAGACGGTAGGAGGTTGGCTGGCTGACCCGCCTCAATCGGCCCCGATTAGGGCCGGGCCAGCTTAGGGAAGGAGCTGAGGGCGATTGACTGGTGGGCCCCGCCCCCAATTGGGGTGGGTGGCCGACTGGGGGCAGGGCCAGCTGTGGGGAGGGGCTGCAGGCAGTTGGCTGGCCAGCCCTGCCCTGATTGGAGTGGGGGGCCCGATCTGGGGTGGGGCCGGTCAGGAGCGGGGGCTGCAGGAGGTTGACCGGCCAGCCCCGCCCCCTATTGGGGTAGGGGGAACGATCAGGGGCGGTGCCGGTGGGGAAGCGGGGCTGCGGGGGGCCATTCGGGGTGGGGCAGGCCGATCAGGGGCGGGGCCGCGGGTGGTTGGTCGGCTGGCCCCACCTCCGATTGGGCGGGTTTGCTGGTCTCAGTGGGTGTCATAGCGACCGGTTGTTTGGGTCATTCTGGTGTTATGGTCGCTGGCTTTGTATATATATAGATACTCTTGAAGGAAGCGAGGATTTTGAGGCAGCCTTATATTTACTGCCTTCTAAAGGGAGAAGCCCTGAAAACGTGATCATGATCAGAACGTACATCCTCTTGCAAAGAAGAGGATTTCCGAAGCTCTGGAAACTTCCTCCCGAGTTCCCCGTGAAAATGGTGCTCTCCCAACATGCCCAGTCTGGAAGGACCAGGCTACAAAATCATCTTGTGCTTTATTTGCTCTTTGTTGTAAGTGAAGATGCAAGTAAGCACCACAAGTACTAGTGTGTACTGACTTTCTGTTATCTGGTTGAGGCCTATGTAGGGGCGCATGGTGCAAGGCATCCCATAAACTTCATTTTTTTTTCATATGGTGGGAGAAAAAAAACAGTTTCAACATTCCTCAAAATTGTCCATGTCCCTAAACACCAACTCCTCAGGTCTGTCATCCCCTGTCTGATTTTTAATTTCATCCTGTCATTGTTTCCCCATCACTAGTGTCTTAGTTCAGGTAAAATGAAAGCACTACGATCCCTATCTCATCTCCAAGCAGTGTTTAATCTGATTTTAGGTTTATTGTAAGGTAATACATGGTAAGATGAGATGGGATTGACAGTTCAAAAGGTAGGGGATGAGGCAGAGCATCATTTTGAGTCAGAAGAAATTTTTATTTCATTATGATTCTATATTTGAGTAGAATTATTTGAAGATGAAAAATTAATTCTAGCCTACAGAGTCTACTTGTGTTGGCCTGATCAAGAGCCAAACTTGTAACGGTTTAATTTTTATCTTAGGGAATCACAGTTAGTTTGCCTTGAACAGAACACTTTCACTTTACAAGAAGGATGCTAATTTTATGCAAATGTCCGCTGTGAATTTTCAGAAGTCAGGAATATCAGATTTTAAAACAGTAAACAAAATAAAATAATAAAATATCTTACATTGTAGCTTTGCAAAGTTGAAAAAAAAAAAACAACTAGACCAACATGAGGGGTTTTTTGGGGGGCCTCTCTCTTTTTTCTTTTAAACTTTCCCATCTTGCTCTATCTCCAGGCAATGAGAAAACAAGTAGATTTGCAATGCTTTTTAACTAGCCTGGTAAATTCACTTTATTAAACATGGTCATTGCAAAGCAAAGCTGAAAGTTGTAGTTAATTAGTAAATGGCTTCATGTTTAAGGTTCATCATAAAAATGTTGAACTTGGGACACAGAAGGGCTAACCGTGGGAATAAATAGTGGCTTTCAAAGGAACTAAAATTTCTATTTCTTCCATAATCAAACGGCAAGTTGCCTTATCTAAAAAATAGGTCCTATTGAGAATTTTACATGCATTTACTCTTATAAGAAAGAAATAGCTCCACAAGATAAAGCACGGGGGGCTAGTGCAAGATTTCTTCCTG